TAAAGCCTGTAGCTAACTTTATTAAGGAAAACATCCAAGTTTTTTCAGAGATTGAGTTTGATCACTTCTTAGAAAATATTCTTCACCAGGGCGCCTGGGTGGCTCAGTCGGTTAAACGTCCGACTTCAGCTCAGGTCATGATCTCCCGGTCCGTGAGTTCGAGCCCCGCGTCGGGCTCTGTGCTGACAGCTCAGAGCCTGGAGCCTGTTTCAGATTCTGTGTCTCCCTCTCTCTCTGACCCTCCCCCATTCATGCTCTGTCTCTGTCTCAAAAATAAACATTAAAAAAAATATATATATTCTTCAGTACCTGTACGCAATTCTCTAGGGCTGTGATTCAATAATTTTGGTCCTTACCGAAAGTAAGTCCTTACAGAGTCTGATTTCTTTCTTCTAGATACTCTACCATAATTTATATAGCCTCTATCAGATAGATTCCAGTACTAAACTGAGAGATTACAGTAATCAGCAAATGAGCAAATGCTATTTGGTATATAATTTGAGTTTATCACTGTTATAAAAATTTAGGGTGTGATACGATTTTTATTAAGAAAGCAAAATTCACCCACTTGGTACAGGTTAAAATTTTTATGTTAGGCTGTGATTACAGGAAACCAACCAACCCACCCACCCACCAACCAGCCAACCAGTAAAAGCAACTGAAATAAGCTACTGTAAAATGCTATGTCATACATCAGGGCTAAATATTTCTGAGGTGATAGGAGCTGGCTCTACACGTGCCAAAAACCACTACAGAAAATGGTTGAGCGAATAGTTCTTCTCATTCTGCATATATATATTGGCTTGTGTAAGAGAGGCAGTACTGCATATTGTTTAAGGCACAGTCTGTGTTGCCAGTTACCAGTTACAATAGCTCTATGACTTTGTGTAAATCATTTTCCCTATATATAAGGTACTTGTGAGGATCAAAAGACATAATCTATGTAAAAAGGCTTACTCCAGTGTCCAAAAAATATTAAGCATTTCATTTGTGTAAGCTATCATCATCGTTATGCCATCATCAGCGTCATCAGTAAAAAGTAGAAAAAAACACTTTCCTGTTATCCTAACCTATACATCATAATATACTCTGTAATTTCCGCCTACATCTGATTAATTATAATTTCTGTAAATACCATGATGTTAAGGACTTTGTCTAATTCACCACTATATCCCTTGGGCCTAAACCAATACCTGGCACATAGAGCGCCAAATATTTTTGGTTTTTAATAAATAAATGCATACATTTTTATATATGCCAACGTGAATTATTTTTCATGACTGCTAGTTTTACAAAGATCTTTCCTTCCATTTTAAGTGTAATTTTTGCACAATTACTTTAAGGTCAATTTCTGAAATTTATAAACCACCTGTTTTAATCCCCCTTTCCTATTTTCCTGTCCAATGAAGTTAGGTACTATTTAATGTCAGGTTTAAAAAGGAGGTCATCACTTAATGTATGTGTGAACTCAAAGGAAAAGGAAGAAATGACATTAATGAGTCTCTACATTCTCCTAGTGCCGGTGTATGGTTTTTTATGGTCTGTGGATTCATCTCCTCAGACTGAATGTAGCCCAGATGGAAAAGGTGCTGATGATGCCCTGGTCTTCCCTGGTCAGGACAGCCTGATACACAGAGCAGGGTATCAGGGTTCATTCTAACAGGAGATATCCCACAGCACTTTCCTTCCATGACCATCCCTCTCCTCCCTATTAAATGAGAAATACCTTCTGATTAGTCCCTGCTCTCCTAGGCTGTTACAAGTAGGGGCTTATTTTTCATTGATTATCATCCTTCTAAGACTCATTTATAATGAATATAACAGACTATAACTATTATTATTAATATTTTTGTCTTATCAGGATAAGCTGAATAGATCAAAATATACTATTAGATCATGTTAACTATACAAACTTATTTCTGATTCATAGGACATTAATATCAAAATACACTTACCAAATCCTAAACATAGTAAGTATAAAACTTGCTTCCATTTGTTATTTTTAAATTAATTTTACTTTTTAAAGTAGATAACACATTTACAGGGTACAAAAATCAAAACCTTATAAAATTACTACTGGTTTCCTGTATAACCTTAAAATGTTCCTTCAAACAAATAAAAGCAGATAAAAATGGGTACATGAAAAGATGCTCAACATCACTAACCATCAAGGAAATACAAATGAAAACTATAACGAGATATCACCTTGTACCTGTGAAAACAGCTTTCATCAGAAAGACAAGGAATAACAAGTGCTGGTGAGGATGTGGAGTAGGGAACACTTGTGCACTGTTGGTGGGAATGCAAATCGGTGCAGCCACTATGAAAAACAGTAACTCAAAAAACTCAAAAAACTGAAACTAGAACTACCATATGATCCAACAATTCCACTGCTGAGTATTTATCTGAAGAAAATGAAAACACTAATTGGAAAAGACGTCTGTACCCCCATGCTCATTGAAGCATTATTTACAATAGCCAAGATATGGAAACAATCTAAGTGTCCATTGATGGACAAATGGATAAAAATATATTATAATTAGATGGAATATCTATACAAAATGGAGTATTATTCAGCTATAACAAAAGAAGGAAATCTTGCCATTGCAACAACATGGATGGACCTTGAGGGCATTATGCTAAGTGAGGTCAGTCAGACAGAGAAAGACAAATACTATATATAATCTTACTTTTTTATGGACTAAAAACAACAACAACAACAACACCCAAGCTTATAGATACAGAGGTAGTTGTAAGAGGCGGGGGCTGGGGTCATTGAAATGGGTGAAGGTGGTCAAAAGGCACGTGAAATTACACTATAAAAATACAGGAAATCAAGGAAATGCAAATTTAGAAAATATCGAGACACCAGTTTGCATCTAACATGTAAAATAATGCATCTTAAAATATCATGTACTAGTGAGCTTGTAATGTAGATTCTGCCTAGAAATAGGAAAACCAATTTTGCTAATTTAATGAGTTCATAGAACCTGAGTCTCAATACACAAAGCATAGTCACTATTTAATCAGATACCAAATGATTAACACAACTATATACTTGGAAGAAATTGAACCCATGATTTAAATTCTACTTAACAAATTCCCACTCACTAAAGGTTACTTTTATAATAAACCCAAATATGTAGTTGCTGTATTTTTCATTTTCTTCCTAATGCAAGCTAATAAGTTTTTAGCAGTTGAACATTTGAAAATCAAGAGGATTTTATTATACTTCTACATGTTTGCTGAATTACTATGATGAAACAGTAAGAAAAAAAGAACAGAATTAGGTTTAGTGGAAACATCTATAAGATTGGAGATTTATTAAGGAAAAACCAAAAGTGGGCTAAGCTGTCATCTGGCTGAAAGTACATGAAAAGTCAAGGCTAGGACTTGGAGGTGTACATAAATGGATAGCCTTCTAATGCACAACTCTCAAGAAGTTACAGGATAAATGCGTTGATCTGGCCCTCCATGAAGGAAGCAGGCGATCTGATCTGACCAAGAACAAGAATAGATGCTTGTTTCCTCACGCAACACAAGAAAACCCCATGACTTGAGAGAAATGAATGGCTCATTAAAGTCAGACTTCCTAAGCCCCAAACCATTAAAATCTCAGGCCACTTTAAATGTGAAATGACATTCCAATACTAATTGTTCTTTGGCTGTTGGAAAAATTATGCCTTTACTGTTCTTAAATCTCATCTTGGAGTAGATCATGCTTTGGGCTAAAATTATCCCTGGGTTCTCAGTAATCCCAAATGGCGTCAACACTTGGAAAACAGAAGGAAACTGAAGGAAATAGTCCCTGCTCTTGGTTTGCTGTAACCTGCTCTTTCAAAAGCCTGGAGCATCCTGTTCCCTCTCAGAGAGGGAAAGAAAAGTAATTTTAGAGCGAGGAGGTTGCTATGCTTTAGGAAGCTGCTAGAGGTCACAGATGCCTCTCTGGTTTGATAAGGTATGGGTCTAGGCAAGAGAAAAAACCTAGGCAAGGAGAAACCTGGGCTTCTGGTGTCACATTTAAAATTGCAAGGCAAGGTAATAGCTAAGCCCATTTGAATGGAACTAACCTGTAAGGGTTGTGCTGGTCTTTCTTTTGGCTGAAACCTTGAGCAATTTCCATTCAACAGAATGGGGGTGGGGGGAAATGCTAAAAGAAGAAAGGTCCCTTTCTTTGAGGTCAGTGCTACGGGTGCCTTCATAAAGTACTTGAGTGGGTCATGTACCTTGGTGCATTGCACCCAGGGGTTCAAACTATAGCAGCTACCATCCTTCCATGAAATGATAAGCCATGGACCAGAGAAGGTTATTTGCAACACCTATCACTGACAAAGGCTGAATGGTCAAACTATGTGAAGAATGCCTACAGACTGATGAGAAGTCAAAGCTAATTTTAGAAAGGGAAAAAGACTAACGGGTCCCTTTGGAGGAGGAGAAAAGGCGGTATGGTTGGCCTGGGCTTGCTGGAAAAGGCTGGTTAGAGTAGGTGCAGAGCCAAGTGTCCATGCCAATGCCACAGAGCTGGAGTGTCGCCATACCCAGGACCTGCAGATCTTGTGGGAGATGTAGCTCCCCGAGGAGGGACATACCAGTGCTGACCTTCTGGGTATTTCTCCAGCACCCCAAACCTGGCCCTTTCCCAAGGCCACTACTGCAGCAACACTTTGAACAAGATCTGCCTGATGATAAACCTGGGAAGCACTAAAGTGGCTCCTGACTCAGAGACTCCAGCTCCTGTCAATGTTAGGAATTCTACTCACTCCGTTCCCTAAGAGTTACAATTAGGTAAAAAACATCCCAGAAGTCAGAATTCAGCACTGTAAACCAACCAAGATTCGAAGTAGAGAGAGCTGGATTGGAGACCTGATCAAATCATCTAAACTTTTGATACATGTCCCAAGCACGTGACAGGTTAAGGGGAAAAACATAAAAATAAATGCAAAAAACAAACACAAAAACAAAACAAAGAAAACTAAAACACTTTTTAAATCACCAACAGGCATTTTCCAGAGATAAAAACTTTATTTAAGGCATCAAGCAATACACTGAAAAGAGGTGAGTCACGCACAAGTAATGTCCTTATTTCCATAATTGTATGTTTGATACTCTCTGCCCTCTTGAAAAGGGTGTGTAGTTAGCAAAGATGAGAAACAGTTTTTATACATAATCATATCAATAGAAGTGTTTAAGAAAGTCTTTAAATTTTGTTTTTCTTTCTTTGAAAAGAATTTTGGTTTTATTTCAGAAAACCAAAACAAGCTAGTTCTTCTACTCAGGATGAAATTTCTCTCCAGTTATTTATGAAATAATACAGCTGCCTTTCTCTTTAAAAGGATTCTTGTCTTCAGGAATTCCTTTCACAAGAGGATCCTCTCCAGAACGTTCTTCAATATAGTTCTTTATTTCTTCGGAACATTTAGACACCTTAAGAAAAAAAAAAGAATGAATTAGGTCAGGATCATCTACACTTTAGTGAAATTAATTTAATTGAGTACAGCCAGCACTTTAAAAAATGAAATAATACGAAAATATTAGCACAAAGCATGTGTAATACATATGCTACATATGAATGACACAATCTAAAATACCTTTCTTACTATGGTGAGGGCCAAAAAGTTTGAAAGTCACCGTATTAAACAGATCATCCCCAGCAATTTCTATCCATTGTGCCTCATATGACTTCCTGCCACTGCTAAAATACAATTATGGTGTATCCATAATATTTTAGGAACTGAAACATACCCCGTTTTCAATTTCCCATGCTAATGAACAGGTGCAGTAATAGATAATCCCCAAATGTTTTGGGCTGCATCCTGCCAAAATTCTCACTTATTATGGGTGTGTGCCATGTTCTGCAATTTTACAAAATGATGGAAACACTGGAGAAGGCCTGATGCTGGGAAGGTTGGGGTTGCCTATTCATACCATTTGTGTCTCTGTTCAGAATCCCTTCCCACTGCTGGAGGGCAATGATCATAGCAACAGATTTATCTGAGATTTATTAGGCTTATCTGAGACTCTTATGTTTATGTAATTAGTTGAAACTTTTCCTACAAAGGAGAAAGGATTGAATACTTTCCTCAGAAACTATCCTTTAGAAACAGGTTGTATAAATGAGTTTAAAAAAGAAAAAGGAATAAAAAGGCAAGGAAAAGAAGGACTAGTGTCTTAGTGAAGATCTGCATTATGAATAAGAAATTGGAAGTAAAAATTACAGAAGCTCTAGCAAATTCTAATATAGACTTCTTAACCCTAAGAAACTATTTCATTAAGTTTATAATCTAGATTAGCAATCTTCAAATTGTTTCAATGGTAATCACTAAAACACGTTTGCATAATTATCCCCAAATGCATATAATTATAAATAATATGTAATTATTTACTTATAAATAAGCACAGATGCTACTGTGTTAATACATAATGCATAATTATAAAACACAAACTGGAAACTGTCAAATGATGAGGCTTAAAATCTAACCAAAAGTAGAAATTGTAATATCTTACTCCCATACCCCAAAGATTCTTTGCACACAATGTAAAGACCACTGTTCTAAAAAATTAAAACCAGCTGATGTAGTTATATGACTTAAAATGTGGAGAAATAACCATCTATTCAAGTGCCACCCTCTCAGGTGACAATTGCTTTTATTTGTTGTTGACATTTATAGTGCATGCATTTTATGTAAATTGTCAGAAGTACAGATACAAGTATTTATAACCTGGGGTCTGTCTCCCCAGAGCTATTTGTGGATAAGATTAGAGTTCCCCCAAATTGTGTCTCTCTTACAGAGGCTTCTTCATTAAGTTTCCGAAGAGATCTGCAGCCTCTGAAAGTGAATAATTACTCCTCTGAGCATTTCCTTCCACGATCAAGAAAATAGGTTTGAACAATTAGCTGGAGCCAGAATTCAGCCTGTGAATTTTGTGTCCTTGGCCTGAGCAGAGCACACAGCTCAGACATGAACAATTTATTGACAGAATAATGAAATGGGCATCAGAACACATGTGTTTCAGTAAGTGCTCTATTATTATCTCTGAGGTCTTAAATAAGAAGGTGGTTAGCCTCCTTGGGATTCAGTTTTTTATCCTTAAAAGTGAAAGCACAGAAGGATCTCTAAGAACCATAATGTTTGTATAGCACTAATACTCTATAATTCAAAGTGTCTGATAACATATGTTTGAGTATTATTATTAGGATTTAGACACCTCTCCTTGTATCCCTTAAGGCTATCCCTCATGTTTTCTTCGCCCTCGGCATACACTTGGAGTTGGAAAACAGATCCAGCAGGGTGTGTCCTAAAGAGTGGAGGTGGGGAGCTGCCAGGGAGGAACAGGGTAATGAATGATACCTTTAATTTCCACACAGTCAGCTGCACCCAGGCTCCTGCCCGATTTCTAATTTGAAGCTTAAAATACCTAGAAGACATTTGTCTCTTTTTCTCCTGTAAGTTCTGCACACTCTGTTACTAGGATATTACAACTTTGTACAATGCTTTACTTCAGTATATATGCAACTCTGTTTAATATGTAACCTCTACGAAGCAATGTGTGAAAAAAATCTAAGCGGCCAACACATACTGCACTGTGCCATCCACAAAATGGGTCCCTTAAAGTTTCAAGAAATTACCCTATTGTTTGGGTCTTATAACTTTGTTTTTTCCCTTTAAACACAGCAGTATTTTTAAAGCAACAAAAACTTTGAACAAGGATAGAAATAACTTTGCACTCCAAAATCTAGGAAGCATAGGGATTTGGAGGTGAAAGGTTAAATTTGAGAAAAGAAATGCACAAAGAGTAAAACTCAAAACACCTGCATCTTCCAATTATCACTCAAAATGTTCATCCTGAGTAACAGGACTGTGTCATGAATAGATTTACTATAAGTAGAGTAGGAAAGCAAGTGAGCATATTTACCATACCTGCTTAATTTACATTTTTTCCTTAATTTTTTCTAGTATTAAACCATAGAAAAATGAAATTAATTTATTTTTATTTTTATTTTTTGCTGGGGAGAAAGGATTAGAGCATTTCCTTTAAAAAATATTTATCCTAAAACCTATTCCCGGACTACAGGTTGCCTGATTGAGGAAAAAAGGAAGAAATGCATGCTCATAATACCAGTAAGAAACTGAAGTAAAATTTACAAAATCTCCAACAAATTTCAGTGGAGACTTCTGAACACCGAGGCATATGTTCTCACTGAATTTGTAATCCACTTTAGTGGTCTCTAAGATTTTTAATCATGATCACTAAAAAGAGTTTTCAAATGCACATCAGTATATGTATTATTACTTATATATAAATGTAAAAATGCTGTATTCGTTCATTGTGTGTACTTCTAAAACAAAGTGGAAATATAAAGGGATGAGAGTTACAAACCAATAAAAATAGGAATTGTAAGGTTTTGTTTCCAAGCCCCAGTGAACTGTTCATTGCATACCTCTGGAGAGGCCTCCTGAAATTCAAAACTATGTAATTCAAATTACCTAAATTGTGATGAATTAAATAGTGATAAAACAAAAACACCTTTAAATTCCAGTCTTTCCCTTAATGAAAAAGATCAAGGAATGAAATAGCCATCTGCCTTCTTCCTATAATTTGAGTTTTTAAAACCAACTGTCTAACAGCGGGCAGAATTTCTTTGTCCATGGTCCCCCATTCTAGGCTCAGATGCTCTGACAGTTGGCTTTGAATTAACTCCTGGGATCCTTGCGGTCTCCTTTCCCTCTTGTGATTTTCCCACATCAACTGGCAGTTGCCAGGTACAACCAAAGCCCCACTTCAAGAGACGCTGGTGGGGGGGGGGGGGGGCGGGGATGAGTGAGAAACCAAAGAACAAAAAAGCTGCACTGTTTTACTGTAACAAACCAGGCAAAACCACCCTTCGTTCATTTCAGAGAAGGGAATAATATTCTGGGACAATTTACCTGTTGCCTCTGCAATTTCACTTCTTTGCGCAGTTGCTCAACTTCCATCTTCAGCTTTTCCTTTTCTGGCAAATCTTCGATGTGAAGGGCCGGCATTTTCAGCCCAGAGCTGGGCCCGAGGACTGCTCTGCAAGTGGAGTGGCTGGAAGTGCGGCGAACCAGGGCGCGTCCCCAAGTAACTGTGGTGCCCGCGCACCCCGCCCTCCGGCTCAGGACGGGACCGCCTCCCCGAGGTGGCCCCCAGAGCCCTGAGCGCTCAGCTGTTCCCGGGTCTTCTCCACGTGCTGGCCCTGCCCAGCGCCCTAGGATCTCTCTAGGGCTCCCACGACCCCGGGTGGCCGGGCCCTGCGAGCCCGGCGACGGTAGAGTTGGGAGGGAGCCTGAGAAGCTCGGTGCTGCGGGATCTCCGGGCGGGATCCTGGCCCTCTGCCGGCTCCCGAGTCGGCCACGCCCGCTCGGGACCGACCAGGGCTGCCACCCCAGGGTTGGGGCTGCACTAACCCACTTTCCTGGAGAAACAACTGTAAAGTTTTACTTTTTGTTCCTTTTTTGTTTTGTTTTGTTTTCCGTTTCCAAGTCACATCCGGGTTTTGTTTGTGAAGCAAGAAAAGGAGGACACTACCCTGCAGGAAATAACGATCCTTCACCTCTCCAAGAGTTTCAAAAATATACAGCATGTTCCTTTTCCCCAGTTAATCTACATGTGTACTGTGGGAAATGTGAACGCTTAAGAAAAGGCCCAAGAGGAAAGTGAAACTGACCTGTAATCTCAGAAACACCCACCACTTCTGTTGATGGACACAGTCGGTTGCGTGCCTGATACATATTTACATATTGGGGGATCAAGGAGTCATTGGGATGTGAATATTGTTTACAACTTGCAGGACCATTTTCTGGCAATCGTCTGCATCCTCCACAGCAGAGTTTTTGTTCTTTCTTTAGCGGAATGTTTTGTAATGATTTAGTGGACACACGGATGATACTAGAGAAGACAGAAGCAGCAGTCTTAAAGTTCTTACCAGAAAGTATTTCTCCACTCCCTATCAACCAAGGATTGGGTGACTGTTGACACCATGGGTCTTGAATTCCTGGCTCCAGCACCCTTCTGGACATTGGCAGCAGATTCACTAAGTATTGGTTTCTCCACTATCTGCAAAGCAGTATTCATCTTGCTGCCAGGAAAAGTGTCTGCTATGACAAATGCTTACCTGCAATGTAAGGTTTCCCTTGACTATAAACTAAAGCCTTCTTAATGATGGTCAACAGACTAGAAGAAAAATAAAGCATTAAGGGTCGGAAACCTTCCCAAGCAGTCAGATATTTCTCTTTTTGGAGATATTACCTCCTGCCTACAGAGCCAGATTCAAGAGTGGAGGCATGAACTGAGTTTTTCAGGGCACTTGACCTGAGACACCCATTGTCACTCCCTGTCTTGTGAGCAGAGGTTTTGTTTGCTCACAATTTCTATGTTCCACCCACTTATCTTCAATGAATATCTTGGAACAAGAAGGACAACAAGCTACTTGGTGATTACTCTGGGTCTAGTCCCAGCTCTGTCCCTGGCTAGCGCTGGAAAAGTCCTTTATTTATTTATTTTTTCTGGATTTTGGCTTTCTAATTTATACAATATATGCTGGGGAAGGGGAGAGGTGGATGAGCCAAGGTATGTTTGTTTCTAATTGTATGTATGTATCCACATCTGATAAAACACTTTCACAAAGAAAACTGTTTAGGAGTTTCTTTTTCTATATTTGAAATACCACACATTCCAGGATCTCCCAGGCTCAAAGAAGTCAAATCAGCTGCCAAAGTTTTCCCCTGTTAGTAAGCTGTGAGCCAAGACAAAAAACTAACATCTGTCTCCAAAAGCAATTTGTATTTTCTGATTCCCCATTGCTCAGATTTAAAACGTTGGTTAAAAATAACTTAAACAAGTTAGTGAAAGTAGTTAACGTGACCCAAATTAAATAAACTCAGCACCCAAATTAAATAAGTTGCTTAAGTAACTTAATGTATTTCTTTCTGGTCCAAATCATAAAAGCCGAATTATTTTAGCCTGGAAATTTTTTCTCTATGAAATCATCAACTTGCATGCAGTGATAAATATTTATAAAACCACAGTGGTTCTTTCACTTCTTCCACAGTATTATGAAACTTAAATTAGAGATGAAATACATATTATTATTTTTTGTTTTTATTCTTATCAAATAATGCAGGGTCCTAATATCATATTAAGTTAATTGATTAAACTAAAATGAATTGAGAAATGCTGAAATCCATGACCACACAACATTTTGAAAACTGTCTTGTTTGGTTTTACATGGTAAGATGCTGGGAACACTTTTTAGAAGAGCATGTAGCCCCCATCCCTAGCATGGAATGTACCTCCCAGACAGCAACCATGGTAAGCAATTTCTTGTGTATTCTCACAGAAATGTTCTACCAACAAAACCGTTTGGAGTGCGGGCCAGTGGCGCAATGGATAACGCGTCTGACTACAAAACCGTTTGGATAAACAGATTTTAAAATCCATATCAGTTATATCCAAACGTAATGTTAGCTTTTTACTTATATTTTACATATAAGTAATAGAAGTTATGATTGTTTTTTTTTTTTTTTTTACAAAATAGTATGTGTACAAACCATAGAAAATTAACCATGTGTTTATTTCCTATCTATCTATCTATCTACCTACCTACCTACCTACCTACCTACCTACCTACCTACCTAACCTATATATCATCTATCAAACCTTTACACCCAACATGGGGCTCGATCCCATGACCTGGAGTTCAAGAGTCACAAGCTCCACCAACTGAGCCAGCCAGATGCCCCTATTTCTACTTTTAAAGTATAAAAGAGCAAAGACCATGAAATATTTACCTTGATATGCAAAAAAAAAAAAAAAAAAAAAGAAGAAAAAAAAGAAAAGAGAAAAAAGGAAAAAAAGGAAAAAAAAATTCTTTGGCTATGTTTCTGAATGTATTAAGTATGTTGTTAAAAATGCATATAAAGGAAACTATATAAGAAAATATCAAGAGTGTTATATTGGAGTTGATTTAATGCTAGGTTGAACTCAAAAAGACCAGGATTCTGGTCTTATTTTATCTTATGTTTTGTTTTGTTTTGTTTGTTTTTACAGGACATATATTCTCTCTGCCTCTGTTTTGTTAGTGTAAATAAACTAGGTTATTTCCCAAATTCTGCTCTTCTGGAATTTATAAAGTTCATGATGACTGTTTAGGCCATTAAAATGATGGTTTCTTTAACGAACATATTTAACAAATATTTGATGCACTTGGTTCATTTTATTTTACTTCAACTTATTATAACAATCCCACGTAAAATTTCACAACTGACCCATTCAACTGTGTGCATAAGCTTCCTTTTCTAGATGGAGATAATATGAAGTAAGAGGATGACCTGTGTCTCATGCTCCAATTATCCTTTTTATTTTTTATTTTTCTGAGAGACAGAGAGTGAGCACACTTGAGTGCACTGGGGAGGGACAAAGAGACAGAGAATCTTAAGCAGGCTTCATATCTAGCTTGGAGCCAGTCATGGGCCTCGATCTCATGATCTGAGATCACGACCTGAGTCAAAATCTAGGGGTGCCTTGGTGGCTCAGTCCATTGAGCCTCAGACTCTTGATTTCAGTTCAGGTCATGATCTCATGGTTTGTGAGATCAAGCCCCACCTTGGGCTCTGCGCTGATAGCTCACAGCCTGCTTGGGATTCTCTCCCTCCTTCTTTACCCCTGCCCTGTTCGTGCTCTCTCAAAAATAAAAATTAAAAAAAAAAAAAAAAAAAGAGTCAGATGCTTAATCGATGAGCCACCCAGGTGCCCCTAATGCTCCAACTATCTTAACAACAACTTATCATTCATATCAAATATGATTTATCAATTGTGCTTATACAAGACTTTAATTTCCATTTAACTGGTCATTCTTATTACTCATTTTACTGTTTTCCTCATGTTAATATTGTTTTAAGAATTTAGGAAGTTTGATATTAGCCTTGTTTTCAAATCTGGCTCAAATCAAATCAATCCAAATTAGAATAACTGTTTTTTTTTTTCTTGCTAAAGCTTAAACTCACTTATGTGTAGAAAATACCCTCAAAGTGCAAGTATCTCAAATGGTATATACTGCAGTATGTATACTTAACTCATTCTCACTACTGGTACCAGGCAGTTTTGTTGAAGAGCCAAATGCTAAGGCTATGCCATGAGTCTCTTGTTTCCCTGTAATCTTACCTCATTCCTTTTTACCTAGTAATCCATGGTCCTGAAATAACAACTTCTGGAAAGAAAAAAAAAAAAAGGTCACTCACTGTTGTAGCTGTATAGCCTGTGGAACAGTCATGATTATCACATCCTTCTTCCTAAACCATCTTGCTCTGTCACTCCTTTCTATGATTTTTATCTTATTCCAACTTCTGCAGATAATCTGTATTTTTTTTAAGTTTATTTATTTATTTTCAGAGAGAAAGAGTGCAAGTGGGGGAAGGGGCAGAGAGAGAAGGAGACAGAGAATCTCAAGCAGGTCTGCACTGTCAGCACCAAGCCTAACGTGGGGCTCGAACTCGTGAAACCATGAGATGATGACCTGAGCCAAAACCAAGAGTCGGACACTTAACCAACTGAGCCACCCAGGTGTGCTGACAATCTGTATTTTTAAGCAACACGAATGTTACCCTACTGTCGATTTATTCCTCAATTAAGCTAATAAGAATTCTGAATTATCCAATATAAAAAGTATTACCCTTTCCTGCTTTTAATTGAACACTAGTCAATTAAATTGTAGAGACAATTTATTAGTTGGTATGGCAGTTTCAATAATAAACAGAGCGTCTGGCTTGGGGAATTTACAATACAGAATTGAGATCAAGACAACCATACCAACTGTAATAAGAGAAAGCAAAGCAATGTTAAATGAGTTAAAAGATTTACAGAATACTCTTGGGGTGGAGTGAGGGACAGAGAAGATAGTTTTTAGTGAGTCTCAGAAAGGAGTAGGATTCAAAAGGCTGAAGTGAGTTAGAGAAGAGGACATTTCAGGTGGAGAGATCAATACGACTAAAACTGCAGAAGGTGGGGAAATGGGGTGTCATGTCAGTGGTCATTTAATAGTTAAGTTTGTTGGCTACAGGAAGTCTCCAAGGTTTATTATAATAGAGGACATTTGCTCATTTGCTCATCTCTATTCTAAGTGATTTTAAATTTTCATATAAGAATCCATCCTATGCTCTCATTTTATACATGAAAAAAACTCATGATGTTCAAAGAGTTGAAGTAGAAAGTGGACAAACCAAAGCTTTAACTTAGAATTATCTGGCTCTCAGATCTATTTCCAGTTGTTAGAGATGTTAGTTAGGACCATGCATGTAGAGATGTTGGTTAGGATCATGCGTGTTACTAAGTGCCATAGCAAGGACTCTGTATTTTTTTAATCAGGGGGAAAAAATAAATGGAACACTTAATAAACATTAATTTGCATCAAACT